AAACAGGAAATATTCTAGTGGAGGAGATTTAAAGTGGATTAAATACTGGGAATGATAAAAGGGGAAGATTATCATCATTGATGTTTCTATCTCTCTCTCCCTCTCCCTTCCTCTCTGAAATCAATAAAATTATATATTTTTTAAAAATGGTAAGGGGGAAGATTAAAAAAAAAAAAAAACCCACACACCAAGATACATAAAAAACCTTGGTTAGAGCACTTGATAACTTAAATGAAATGGACCAGTTCCTTGAAAGACACAATCTACCAAAACTCACACAAAAAGAAATAGATTTAAAAAAGAAGAAATAGATAATTTGAATAAATCTGTATCTTTTAACAAAATTGCATCAAAAAATAATAACCTTCCAAAACAGAAGGCCCAGACCCAGATGGTTCTGCTGGTTTATTCTACCAAATGTTTAAAGAAGAAATTATACAAATACTCTACAATCTGTTCCAAAAACAGAACCAGAGGAAATACTTCTTACTCATTCTATGAGGCCAGCATTATCCTAATACCAAAAACAGAAAAACAATCGCAATTGAAATGCTAGCAAGTTACTTTACAGATATAGACAAAATGATTCTAAAGTTTATATGGAAAGACAAAATACCCAATATAGCCAACATAATATTGAAGAATGACAAAGACTGAGGACACTACCTGACTTCAAACTGTACTCTGAAGTTACAATAATCCAGACAATGTGGTATTGGTGAAAGACTAGACAAACGGATCCATGAAAAAGAACAGAGCTCCCAGAAATAGACCCCCTTAAATACAGTCAACTAGGCAAAGGCAATTCAATGGAGAAAGGGACAGTATTTTCAACAAGTGGTGTTGGAATAACTGGACATCCACATGCAGAAAACTGACTCTAGACCAGTGGTTCTCAACCTTCCTAATGCCTCGATCCTTTAATACAGTTCCTCATGTTGTGGTGACCCCCAATTTCATTGTTACAAATTGAACATAATTAAAGCATAGTGATTAATCACAAAAACAATATGTAATTATGTATGTGTTTTCCGATGGTCTTAGGCAACCCCAGTGAAAGGGTCGTTCGACCCCAAAGGGGTCGCGACCCACAGGTTGGGAACCACTGCTAGACATTGACATTAAACTTTTCACAAAATTTAACTCAAATTTGATCACAAACATAAAATGTATAATGCAAAACTTCTAGAAAATAACATGGGGGGGGGGGGGGA